ACATTTTTCCTTTTTTTTTTTTGTTCAGGTAGAGTGGGAGGGAGAGAGAGGAACAGAGAGAGAGAGAGAAACATCGACGTGAAAGGGATATATCAAGTGGCTGCCACCTGCACAACCGACCAGGGCCGGGGACAAACTGCAACCGAGGTACGTGCCCTTAGCGGGAACCGAACCCGGGTCTCTCAGGACCGCAGGCCGACGCTCTAACCGCTGAACCAAACCCGCCAGGGCAACTGCTCTTTTTTTTTTTTTTTTTTTTTTTAATGACTATTCTTTCTTTCATAAATCACAAGATTATTTTCAGAACATGCGATGAGATGGGTTTCAGGAAGAACAGGACAGTGACGAGGCTCATTGTCTCAAAACAAAGGAAATTCACTCAGGAAGCCATCGCCCAGGGCTACAAATGTTGCAAGAAGTTTAGTTGGACACTTGATTCATTTAAGTCTTTAAAAAAAAGAAACTTTATAACCCTGCTATCTTAACTCTCAGATATCCTCAGTGTCCTGACAGTTAAGATACATTTAATCTTATGTGTGAAAAAAGCCACATATATACCTGCTACAATAAACTTTATATTTGTGACTAAGTATCGATGTTTTCTTTCTTCACCGGGTGTGTGGCTTTGGTGACTGTACCTGTGTTAATGTCACGCTTCTTCAAACCTTTCTGTATTATTTGCTCTATTGCACTTTTTCCCCAGATAAAGTTATCTTGGCTGAACTGTGTAAATATCCACACACACAAACCGCTTCTTCTGCCCTGATGGTCACCCTAGCTCATCGTTTCGGAGGCCCTGTAACAACTGCCAGGCTGTTGTAAGTGCTGGCTCCTATGATCTTCCCAACAACTTCTGAGAAGGGGCCTTTGTTATCCTGGAGGAAGGGGACACGCAGAGGTTAAGCTGGCCAAGGTCACACAGCTGGTAAGGGGAATAGCTGAGATTGGACCTTAGGCCACTTGGCTCGGAGAATGTAAAGGTCAATAGCATGGGCTTTGGAGTTTAGCCACTCACCTAACTTGTGACCTTGGGCGAGTTACCTGACTCCCCGAGCCTCAGTTTCCTCATCTGTAAAATGGGGATCAGTCCGGTGTCACGGGTCCATCGGATTGGCACAGCGTCCTCAGTGTGGGACCCAGCAGAGCAAGCGCTGGTGAGCATGCTTCTTTTCTTGCTTGCTTCTGGGTTGTTCATCCACCTACACTGGGAACCGACCAGGGTTCCAAAGCCCCGTTTTCTGCTCAACTGGCTGCTGTGTTTGCCGGTGGGGGCTGTTTGAGGTGTGGTCCATCCCGACACTGGCGGCGGGGGACTGAGGTTTGTTCCGGGCATGGTGCTGGGTCCTCTGCATGATCGCGTGAGCAGCCCTCCTTGCTGAACGTTGGGGCACTGTGGACCTTTCTGGCCTTCCGTGGTTTGGCTCTGCGGGGGAGGAGGAGGGAAGACCTCTGGAAACAGCTGGAAGGAGACTTTATCTGTGCGATCTGTCAGCATGGGGTGGGGACTGGCCTGTGGAATGCTTTCCCGAGAGTCCACGTTAATGCCCGTAAATGGGAACGTCTGAGGGCATGTCTCCAGGGGTGGCCGGAGTGGTGGGCGGGGGTGACCCGAGCCTGCCGGTGCAGGGAGCCACAGGAAGGCGAGGCTCCTGCAGGAGGAAGGCCACCGTTGAGTGCTGCCGCATGGAGTCCAGCAAGAGGACGGGGTGGGTGTCCTTTCCATAGTTAAGGTCTTTGGCGACCTCGGGTTGGGTGGTGTGGTGGCTCCGGGGGGCACTGTGGGGCACGTTGCAGGGAACTCCCTCGCTGGGGGCCCATGGTTTCGTAGGTGCACCTGACTGCTCACTGGGGCACAGGACACTCTCCGGGAGCTGCCTCACCGCCCCCCGGCCCCCTGCAGAAAAGCACAGGGGCGGCCACACTCATCCCCAGAACCTCCCATCTCCTCCCTAGACAGGCTCGTCTCCTGGCTCACTCCCAGAACCCTCTGGGGGAGCAGCCGGTGGCATTACCAAGGCTGAGCACACGCGAGCCCAGTCCTCGGCCTGCCCGCCCAGACGCACACAGCAGCTCTGAGCTCCCCAACTGCGGAGGGACACACGAGTGGGGGACAGTGAGGTGTGGCTGTCGTCAGCAGTGAGGGTGAGCGGGCGTCCAGTGACGCGGACCAACCACACTGAGCCTGGTGAGGGAAGGAAGCCGGGCACAGAAGGTCCTGTATTCCCCGCTGCCTCCGATGTGCAGAACAGCACAGCTCACCTGCGGCTGGAGACACTGGGGCGGAGGGCTCCACGGGTGGCCCCCTGGGTGACAGTCCGCAGGGCTGCACACCTGGTTGGTGTGCGTACTGGACGGGTGAGTCTGACAAACCGGCTGTCGCCGCCGCTGAGATGTGCGGTTCAGGCCCCCGGAGGGCGTGGACCTGGTCCGAGTCCCAGTCTCCGACTCCGGGCAGGCTGCTCAGACCTCTTGGGTCTCAGGTGCGTCCCCTACCAACATGCAGGGTGAGTGAGCTCGAGGGGTGACGGGCTGGCCCCGGGCATTTCCACGGTGACAGAGTCAAGGCTGCTTGCGCCCTGCCCCCCGCACCCCCCAGGCTCCTGAAGCCCAGGCGTCCGTGCTTCCTGGAAGCTGCCACAAGAGACCTCTCCCTCCCTCTGCTCCATGAGTCAGTGTGGCCGGGGCCATGTTTCGCCATCCCGTTCAGTGCCCCCTTCTCTTGGTCGGAAGAGGAGTGCTCCAGTTGGGTGAGGGGGGCAGTGTGTGAGGACAGCGGCACTGCGGGTCCTGGGGGGCCCTTTCCTCACAGCTCTCCCCGTGGAGCCGGGATTCCAGAGCCTGCGGTCCAGAGGCAGGGCCACCCCGGTGCCGGCCAGAGTGCCCTGGCCTCGAGGATGTCACCTGCCCCCTGCGCCCAGGAGGGAACAACCCCCAATGCCCCTGCCTTCACCCCAATAGCTTTTCAATGGAGACCTGGAGGAAGGGCCTTGGGCAGCTGGTGCTGTGTGCCCCGTCTTCAAGACATCCTGTCCTGCTCCAGCTGTGGCAGCCCTGAGCCCCTGAAGGCTCTTGGCTCACTGAGCTGGTCAGGTGTGTCCCCCACCCCGCCCCGTCTCCCCGCTCCCTGGCCAAGCTGCTCCCCACCCCCAGGCAGGAAGTGCAGGTGGGGCTCTGTCTCCCAGGAGATGAAGGGATGCGGATGCCGCGGACCCTCCGGGCCTGGCTGCTCTGCGCCCTCCCCACGCCACGACTTCTGCTTCACCCCTGCCCCATTTGGTCCCGAGGCTGTGCGGTCCTGGGTGACCCATCCGTGGGCCCCTACCCATCTCGTGTTTATGTGACGTGGCGTGATCTCAGTCTGGCGTCACTGCCGTGTCGGGGAGAAAGGCTGAGGCCCTTCGCTTCACTTTGTCCTGAAGTCCTTTCCCAAAGCCACGTCCCCGGCACCCCGCCGTGCCATCTCTTTTCCTGCCTCTGGTCCAAGGGTGTGGTCGTAACCCCTGGCTGCTGTGAGAAGCAGCTGGGTGGTTTTAAAAGTACAGGTTTCTGCCCTGGCCAGTTTGGCTCAGCGGTTAAAGCGTCGGCCTGCGGTCCGAAGAGACCCGGGTTCGGTTCCCGCTAAGGGCATGTACCTCGGTTGCAGTTTGTACCCGGCCCTGGTTGGTCGTGTGGGTGGCAGCCACTCGATGTGTCCCTTCACGTCGATGTTTCTCTCTCTCTCCCTTCCTCTCTCTCCCTCCCACTCTATCTGTACAAAAAATGGAAAAATATCCTCGGGTGAGGATAAAAAAAAAAAAAAAAAATTAAAAGTACAGGTTTCTGCCCTGGCCGTTTGGCTCAGCGGTTAGAGCGTTGGCCCGCGGACCAGAGAGTCCCGGTTCGGTTCCCATTAGGCATGTACCTTGGTTGCAGTTTGTGCCTGGCCCCGGTTGGGATCATGTGGGTGGTGATCACTCTATGTGTCTCTCTCACATCGATGTTTTCTCTTTTTCTCTCTTCCTCTCTCTCTCCCTCCCGCTTCTATCTGAAAAATAAATGCAAAAATGTCCTCTGGTGAGAGACCCGGGTTTGGTTCCCGCTAAGGGCATGTACTTCGGTTGCAGTTTGTCCCCGGCCCTGGTTGGTTGTGCGGGTGGCAGCCACTCGATGTGTCCTTTTCACATCGATGTTTCTCTCTCTCTCTCTTCCTCTCCCTTCCTCCCACTCTATCTGTACAAAAAATGGAAAAAATGTCCTCAGGTGACGATTAAAAAAAAAAAAAAAATGTCCTCTGGCGAGGATAGGGAAAAAAAGTATGGGTTTCGGAACCCCCTCCCCATCAGGACCGGCGGTTGGTTCAGCGCTGGGAGGAGAGCGGCCCCTGGGGCCCAGTGTGTCCATCTCCCGGCCCGCACTGGGGCAGCTGAGACGGAAACTGGCCACCCTGCAGACAGGGCCTGCGAGGCTGTGAGGAAGCATCTGCCAGCCCACAGCGGGCCAGGGCACACGCTTTCTTTGGAGCCCCCACGCGGGTTCCCACACCACCGGCCCAACGAGGCAGAGCCGCGATGCCGCGAGTGATAGCTCACGGTTGTCTAGCCCCACCCGCACGCTGAGCTCCTTATGCAAACCCCATCACTTACCTCGGACGACACGTGGAGGAGGCTTTCCTCCCCACTTTCAGATGGGGAAACTGAGGTTATTCGGGGCCTCGTCCGGGCCCATCGGCTAGCTGGCGGCTGAGTGTGGCTTCACTCCAGGCCCGAGCCTGCCCGGGCCTCTGGGACGGCTGTGGCCGGTGCTGGACTCACCCCCGCAGGCCGGACCCAGGCATCCCCTGCTTGCCAGGGCGGCCACGGGTCCGAGCCTGAGACGGCAGTCCGCAGCGGTCAGCAGGCACGGGCGTTGTCACGGGGGCTGCCGGCCGCGGGCGTGTCTTCACCCGCTTCCGCAGATGCGCGGACTCTGCAGCCAGGGCGAGCCGGTCCTAATGCCGTTGGTGCGGTGTGTTTTCCCTCCAGTGGAGCACGACAAGGAGTTCTTCCACCCGCGCTACCACCACCGAGAGTTCCGCTTCGATCTCTCCAAGATCCCCGAGGGCGAAGCGGTGACCGCGGCCGAGTTCCGCATCTACAAGGACTACGTCCGCGAGCGCTTCGACAACCAGACCTTCCGCATCCGCGTCTACCAGGTGCTGCAGGAGCAGCTGGGCAGGTGGGTGCTGCTCCCCCACCCGGAGGCTGGGGCGCCCGCCGCGGGCCGCCCCTGCCCTGACTCCCCTTTCCAAAGAGGGCGCATGTCCGTCACTCTGCCTTAAGACCGTCCCCGTCCCCGAGCCCTGTCAGGGACAGGGGATGTCCAGGTGAGCCTGGGGTGTGTGGCCCCGTGTGGGTACTTACAGGTGTTCTGGTCCGGCATGTGGGGCATGGGAGGAGGGGGATGGGGAAGAGGAAGGAGGCTTTGTGAAGGGCTACGTCTCCCCCATGCGTCACTCTTAAACCCAGCATGTGATGTCAGGCCATTTGTCATCATCTCAGGGGACACCCCCCCAAACAAAAATGAACAGGCACAGAACAGTCAGCCTTCTAAAAACTCAGGAGCCCGGGAACTAAACTCTGGCACGAACGGTTTTAATTTCCTGAGACCCTTTGGCCACAAGGTCTTCCGAGAGGTAAGAAGGCTGGACATGGGCTGGAACACCCGCCAAGTCCACTCTGCAGTCCGAGGTGCCCACGACCACGGCGCACCCCCACTGGCTGGCCTTCTGGGCGCCTGCGGTATCAGGCTTCACCCCTCCCCGCACACTGTTCCCTGTAATTCATGGGAGAGAGGTGGGTGGCAGCTCCTTCGGATGGGCATTCTGGCCTCTTCAGTTGAAATGGGGACCTGGTACCACACTGGGGACGTGGGGATGCTACCCCTCATTTGCCAAGCACCTCCATTGTGAGAAAACCAAACTGCTCCCGAGTGTCCCCGACGTCCTGCGCCGTTACCTCACTTCCTACCCACGCAGCCCTCTCGGTGGCACCCACATCGGGGACCCGGCAGACCCTAACTGCTGTTCATGGAGGTGACATCCACTTACGCTCCCAGCAGCCACACTGGGCAGGCCTGTGTCCGTGTGCTCACCAACAGGGCCTCTTACCAGACTGTTGTGATGTTCGTCAGTCCGACGGGTGACAAATGGTGTCTCGCTGTGGATTCAATTTGCATTTTAGAGCCCCCCTTCGAATGCAGTGCCATGTGGTGCGGGGTCCAGGGCAGGAGCCTCCTCTAAAACCTTGGCCGAGGGGTGTACTAGTTCCTGGGGCTGCCCTGACGAAGGCCCACAGGCTGGGTGACTTGGAACAATAGAAATGTGTTCTCTCTCAGCTCTGGAGGCCAGAGGCCTGAACCAAGGTGCCCTGGGACCGCGCCCTCTGACCCTGCGTTCTCTGTGTGCCTCGCTCCTCTTAGAAGGACACCGCTCCATGTGGATGAGGGGCCCACCCCACACTGGGGTGGCCTCATTTTACTTAGTTACCGCTGTAGAGACCTCATTTCCAAATAAGGTCTCAGTCACAGGTACCGGGGGTGGGACTTGAGCATGTCTTTATGGGGGACACCATTGACCCCCTGATAAGACGTGAAGAAGACAGGCAGTGAACAGGTAAGCAGGTGGACCAGCTGGCCCGATATGGTCATTGGGTGGTCACTGATGGCCCTGTTGAGTGGGGGGACATTTGAATGACAGGGAGGATCTGGCACTGGGGGTGGAGTATCTCTGGGGAACTTCAAGGTCTATGGCAGGGACGGGCCATTGAGTGTGGGCTGCAGGTAGCACAGAAGGGAGCGGAGGAGGCGGGGAGGGTGAGCCAGAGTCCTCGCTCAGGTGGAGCAGGAGCCTGTGGCTTCCCATCAGGCCGCCAGCAGCAGTTTGTCTTTCTGCCTGGGCCACCTGATGCCGTGGGCACCTGGTCCGTCCTGATTCGAGGTGACTGCCTCCCCCACCCTGCCTTAGATCCAGGGGCTGGGTCTGAAGGGCCCAGGGGAGAGAGGGCCGAGTCACCGTGGTTGGAAGAGGGACAGGTGGGACAGCTGTAGGTGTAGCAGGTTGCCCCCGGCAAGCAGTTTGGCCATAGGTGATCTCCGGGAATGCTCAGCCTAGCTTTGGGTGCCTGGGTCCCCTGTCAGCAAATGTCTGAGCACCTGCTGTGTCCCGCACTGGAGGTCAGCAGACCCAAGTCCCTGCCCCTCTAGGAGCCACAGCTGAGCGGAGGCTGCAGTGTGACAGGTGCAGAGCAGGGGCCGGAGCGAGAGGCTGTGGGAGGGCGCAGGGGCTGCTCGCTTTAGACCCGTAATGTCCTGTCTGCTCCTGAAAGACGGAAGTAGGTCTCATTCTCCAGAAGTTAAAAGGTTACACATTTTTTAATTACCGCTTTTTATTTCTGGGTGGGCTGTTTTGCTTTTTAAACGCAGAAGCCAGACGATGCTATTAAGTGATTCCCCAGAGTGTGGGTTTGAGTCCCCGCACTATGTACCAGTGTGGTCTTGGGAAGGAGTCGCCCCTCGGAGCCTCAGTTTCCTCCTCTGTGCAATGGGGATCGTGAGTGCATCTCCCTCTCAGAGTTGTGAGGACAAAGGAGACTAACATACTCATAGCATAGTAAGTGCTCAGTGAAGTTTCACTAATATTAGTATCATCACCATCACCACCATTACCATCATCACCATTTTTTTTTTTTTTTTATCCTCACCCGAGGACATTTTCCCATTTTTTTGTTCAGGTAGAGTGGGAGGGAGAGAGAGGAACAGAGAGAGAGAGAGAGAGAAACATCGATGTGAAAGGAACACATCGAGTGGCTGCCACCCGCACGTACAACCAGGGCTGGGGACAAACTTCAACCAAGGTACATGCCCTTAGCGGGAACCGAACCCGGGTCTCTCAGGACCGCAGGCTGACGCTCTAACTGCTGAGCCAAACCGGCCAGGGCGGTTGTTTTGTTTTTTAAATGCAGAAGCCCGATGATGCTATTAAGTGATTCCCCAGAGTGTGGGTTTGAGTCCCCGCACTATGTACCAGTGTGGTCTTGGGAAGGAGTCGCCCCTCGGAGCCTCAGTTTCCTCCTCTGTGCAATGGGGATCGTGAGTGCATCTACCTCTCAGAGTTGTGAGGACAAAGGAGACTAACATACTCATAGCATAGTAAGTGCTCAGTGAAGTTTCACTAGTATCAGTATCATCACCGTCACCACCATTACCATCATCACCATCGTTATCACCATCACCGTCACCACCACCCTCATTGCCGTCACCACCTTCCCCGTCGCCATCATCTTCAGCAGCATCCCAGGGGACGCAGGGACCGTCTTAGGAAAGTGGGGAGCCCAGGTTTAGCTGTGGCGCTGCCTTCCTCCTCTGCTAAACCTCTGAGCGGTTCAGTCTTCGCTGGGGATGGAAGCCAGAGCCTGTGTGGAGGCAGAGCCCGGGTTTGCATTTCCTCAGCCCGGGGCCAGGCGTTTTCTTTAAGCTGAAGGCCCGAGGCTGATCCGAGTCCCTGAGAGGAGCCCGGATCCTGCCACACCCCCCTGCTGTGTGGCCGGCCTGCTCCCTCTCGGGCCGTGGCCTCATTGCTGCTGGCCGCCCAGCTGTGCGGAGCTGGGACAGCTGGCTCTCTGGCGAGCCTCTGCCTGAGCCCCAGGAAAGCCCTGGGGGTGCCGGGGGTTAGAAGGCTCGGTCGGCCTCAGCGGCTCTTCCCTCGTGACGGCCACTTTCCACCCAGGCCTCTTGATCTCGGAATCCAGATCGAATTTCTACGAAGCCCAGCTGGAGCGTGGCCCCAGACAGCTGGAGCGGCGTGCTGGACCGCCCCTGGCAGGCTGCGGCCGCGTGGGGGCTGAGAGGTAGTTCTGGGGTCAGTGGCCTTGGCACGGCTCCCTGCCGAGAGGTAAGGGGAGCCCTTCTTTTCTGGACCCCAAGCCCAGGACCTGACCAGTGGGGCCCCTGGAGCTGGGCCCCTGTTGTCTCTTGTCGCAAGTCTGGTTCCAGCCGGAGGGGAGGGTGTCTGGTGGGGGTCGCACTGGTTAATGACAGGTTCCGTTCATGGAAACCGGCAGCATCTCCCCCTGCAGGGCCCAGCCTGCTCCTTGAAGGGCGATGTGGGTGCTCCTTGAAGGGCGATGTGGGTGCTCTGTGAGATGCCCGGGGGTACCGCAGGCCTGCAGGGCAGCAGACCCGCTCAGAGGGCGCCAGGCACTGCCCAGGCCTAGATGTGGTTGGCAGCTGGACGAAAAATGTCCCTTGGTCCGTCTCAGGGACTTTGGCTGCCAGGAGGGTGACCTCAGAGTGGTCTCCGGGGCCAAGATTGGATCAGTGGCGGCCTGAGTCACTCTGAGGAAGAGGGAGCTGTCACCGCAATGGGCTGGAGAGGGACGCCAGGGGCGGCTTGCCAGCTCCCTTCAGGCCACGAGGAGGGAGGAGGCAAGTGCTGTGCCCCCAGCGCCCCCCCCCCCCGGTTCCACACAAGGAGGAAGCGTCGCTGGTGTCCTCGGCAGTGCCTCCAACTCTGCAGGCACTCACGCACCTGTCTCATGTCTCACCTTGTCCTCTGAGAAGGACGCATCCCTCAGAGCTCCCGACCCCAGCCCAGTGGCATCCTCGCCCCTTAGCAGCTCCGCTCAGCCACGGGGCTCTGGGGATCTGGTGAAAATGCGGTTCGGGGTCCGCTGGCGGGGGCAGTGCCCGAGCTTCTGCATTTCTGACCCACCCAAGGGGACAGCCTTGTGATTGGGTCCAAGGAGAAAGGTGCATGTGTGCCGGGTGCCGGGACACCTTGCTGGGAGAGCATTGCACCCCAGGGTGGCTGCAGGGCGGCGGGTCCTCAGACCCTCCTGTCTTCCCCGTGCTGAGTAGGGCGAAGTACTAGGTAGCAAGCTTCTGACCTTTCCTGACTTTAGTCGCCGTGAGCACGTCTGGGCAGAGGGACAGGGTCGCCCTGCAGGCACATCCCGCCAGCTGCCCCAGGCCTGTCACCTGTGGTTGTGCTGGACACTTCACCTTGGTTGCGTGCCTTGCAAATGGCCGTACGAAGACTCGTCATTCCCATTAGCAGGTGTCGAGACCGCTCAGAGGGAGAAGCGACTCACCTGAGATCATGCAGCTGGAACGTGGCAGAGGTGGAACCGAACTCGGGTCTGAGGCTCTGGGCTCACGGTCTTGGCCACAGCATTGCCCTG